CCTCCCTAGCTTACCTTTGACCAAACTCATGTGTTGGATGCCAGAACGACTCTGGTGAATGCAGGTCTGGGCTCGGCACATTAGGTTGGAAGCCACTTGAGACTTCTACCAGGAGGCATTCTTCATGTTTTCAAATGAAACCTCTTGTGCCATCAAAATGTCTTAGGCCAGATCATTTCCATATGTAGTTTCCCTCTCGCAGGGCTGTGCGTGTGTGTGTGTGTGTGTGTGTGTGTGTGTGTGTGTGTGTGTGTATGTGAGTGCGCATGTGTGAATTGGCTGCCTCTAGTACAATGACAGCTCATGGGTCAAAAACCCATTTGAGTTTGTTTGGATGAGTAAGAAATGATGGGAATTCAGAGTGCAAAAGACTATAAATATTACAGGGGTTATTCAAAATCTCATTTACTTTTAGTCTGACTACCTCTTTACATAATTTAAATTCCATTTGTAGCCACCAACGCTGGTCCTCTTAAAGAAAATAACAAACAAGCTACTGCTAAGGGAAATGCAAATTGGTTTGTTTGGTTCTTTACACTTCTGGGCAGTGAAAACACAAGCAATGGTTATTCCAAGGGTCTCATTGAATAAACAAAAATCTTCGTCATTCTTAGGAGCTGCTTTAAAGGTTAACCACTTTCTGAAGCATTCTTTGTGTCTAGAAACCAATTTTGTGCTCTTTTTATCCAGCTACAAAGTTCTTACAAACTAGTTAAAGTTTCTCACATGAATATATTTGCACTCAGAAAATAGAGGAAACAATTCCTTTGGGGGAAATTTGTTTGTTGTTTTTCAACAGTTACAGAGTCCTTGTAGCGTGCAGGGAGCGACATGCAGACTGGAGGCATTTGTGCTGGTGCCGACAGCCCAGGATTCTGCTAAGCCAGGGCCCTGGCCCTTAGCACACACACAGCAGTGAGGATGGCAGCGAGAATCTGCTGGAGAAGTGGCCTCATCCTACCAAATTCCCAGGCCCTTGGCCCTTCCTTCCCGAATAATATTTTCCAGCAGTTTATTTCCTGCACTCACTCAGAAGTGCCCCATTCCATGTAAATTCCCACTCACCCTTTATTTACCTTAGATAATGAATGATTATGTGTAAGCCAAGATGATACTCTTGACTGTGTCTCCTAAAATACCACCAAAGTGAACTAATATTGTCCAGTGCCCTCAGTCTACATGGGGACCGGACCTGAACAGGATCTCAGCATTGTAGATATCTTCTGCCTAATCCTTAAGATGAAAAAAACATTCCTACTATCCAAAACCTAAAATACCAAAAATTCAGTATTTTCATACACAGGGATAACCCAGTCCTTAACAAGGAATCTTTTAACTATGAGATACTTACTGGGCATTTAAAGTGGAATTTGATGATAGAAATCTCACTGGAAGAATGTGTGATGGTACATTTGTACCACAATTTCTTAATTTGTAAATGTCTTATATTAGCTAGTTACCAAGTCTTTGCCAACTAGCAGTGTTTTAGGGTTTCAACTTGGAATTGCCAAGCAAGAGCAATGTGCATAGCTCAGATATGGATTTGTCTTTCTTAAACAGGGCCTTGACAGTTCAGAAGGAATTGTCAGCCTCACAAAATGGGGCCCCTTCCTATTTAATCATCACATAACATTTCATTTATGCATAACATTTCTTTTAGCTCTAATGATTTACTGAACTTCTAAAAAATTGGTCCAAAACAAGTGTACTTGGGTATATAGTATTTCAAAATAAACTGTATTTGTTCCTAATACAGCATTTCTTGGTGCTGCAAACAAAATTGTGATTATACCTCACATTGGCCCTCCAGTGAGGTCAGAACAGAAGTTAGAAGCCCTGACAGCAAGGATTGTTGGTGGGGTGTAACCCAATGCTCCGCTAATTGGAGCCAGAGATGCGGGCGTAGAAGAAGCTACCTTGGCCCAGGTGAGAGCTAGAGCTTGAGGAAATGCCCTGGCTGATGCTGGCACACCCGTGTACAAAGAAGAGGCCTTGATGTCTGCTCTGGGCTATGGCAGGGTCTTTTGCTCCACCTGGACGGCCAGCAAAACAAAACAGAACATAACTGTGAAAATCCAGCCAAGGTTCTGATTCCTAATAACCTGAAGAAGTGAAATCAGCTAAGGTCTGGCCCCACTTGGATACAAAATCCTTCAATAGCAAAGTTCCTAAATTGCCTTTCAGACAAAGCCTCTAGAATCCCATGAAGAGTGGTGGGAACATGTACAGAAACCAACTCCTTTGGGCAATAACGTTTTTCTAAATTTTTATCTTTACTGTTGCTTGTTTGATATTACAGCCTCCAGATCTCCTGAACAGACTTTGTAACTCACCCTGCAGAGAAGCACATGGCCTATGAGGTCTGACAACCCTATCTGCTTGTGCAAAAGAACAGTGAATATCTTACTTCTTAACATCCATCATATTCAGCTTTCCCTTCTGCTCCCTTTGCATAAATTCTCACCCTAGGAACCAATCCAGGAGGCTGATTTGACCTCTTTTCTGCCCTCGATCTCCTTGCTGCTTGAGGGGCAATAAAGTTTAAAAAACATGGTGCCATGGTCTGGGCTTCTGTGTGTGTTGGGCCACGGACCTTTTGTTCCATATCAGAAACATTTGCTTCCTTGCAAAGGAAGGCAGAGATGTACCACACCTATTAATCTCCAAAGGCAGCCACTGCAAGATAAAATTTAAGCATGCAATGCAATAAAATTTTCACGTGTAACCACCCTACTGTATCAGTTAGGATGCATGTGGCTTCTTTTTTAATTCTCTTGGAACCTCAATTCTGAGCATCAGATCTTCATGCAACAGTGTCCTAAAACAAGAAGAAAGGTTGAGACTGTTGTCCATGTCTCTTTTCCCTCTACCTCATTGGCTAGAATTGGGTCACATGACCAGCACTAAGCCAATCCCTGAAAAGGGGAAAGATTTCTGCCATAGGTTTAGATCAATCATTGTTCCAGTTGGACAGAAGCAGGGAAGAGGAACTGTCAGTTTCCTAAAAAACATTGTGTTTTGCTATCTGAATGTAATTAGGATTTTAACTTTTACCCTAATAGGACACAAAAGGACAATCACAAGCTTCCAAAAACATAGCCTCTTAAACCAAATTGAAGCAATGTAGCTCGATCGATGAATGGTAAATTGCAGAGATACTGTCCTGTGTTGTTTTGTCAAAGGACTCACTCCCTGCTAAGTGTCCTTGGGTGGTTGTCAATGGCTCAAGCCCCAGTTGTGTTTCTATCAAAGGAAAAGAGTGTCATTTACCTCCTTCTAGGCTCTCAGTTGGTTGTATGATGATTAAAGGAGCTTCATAAGGCCTATGAATTTCTCAGATTAAAGTATAAAGTGCTGACTTTTTTTTGGATGACACCAGTGTCAAATCGCTGAACACAAATCGGCATTATCTTACTTCTCAAAGTGGCTTGGAATTTACAAGTACCAAGTATGAACTCCTCTCTTGAGAGGTCTGAGTTAATTCCTTGACTCTCACTTCTCCCTTCCTTGGCTTTTCTGCTGCGCTTGGGCTGTTATTTCTGTCTCACATCCCAATTCCCCCCAAGTTTGTAGCACCAAGGATTTGAGTGACTGGTTGAGGTAAAAGCATTATGAGGGAGTTGAGGAATGGAAGAAGGAGGACAGCTAAAAAAATCCATTCTGGTTCCCTTTCCCAAATTTCGAACCCACTATTTTAACACTTACACTTGATTGTTAAATGCCTTCATTGTGATTTAAGCGGTACACTGTGCATCCTTTACGGCAAGATTTCAACCCAATATTCTCTGGTTTCCAAACCCACCCATAGTACAGGGATCTATCCAAACAAAAGAGACAGAGCATGGCTAAGCTGTTCTGTTTTATCTCCACTGGTCTTTGTGTTTTTTAGATTTTCCAGTTAGAGATATAATCCAGTGCAAACACAAGCCCATTGCTGCTACATTTATTTTTACTTATTCTTTGAAACAAACAGACTAGTCTTCATTTAAAGATATGGAAAGCAAAAGTTTAAAATATAAGAAAGGAAGCTTGGAGTAATTTAAACCAAAGATATATCAAATGGTGAGCCTAAAATGAAACAAAGTGAATTTAAAACTCCAAAGCTTAAGACAAAATGAAAACCCGCTGGCTTATATAACTCTCTGCTAAGTTTTTTTTTTTTTTTCCTTTTCTCTGTCTTTTGGAAGGCTACCCTTTCCAGCTGGAAAGTTAAACTGCTAGCTTTTATTTATTTCAAAAAGATATTTAATCATGTGTATTATCTTAACTTTGCTTGGTATAAGGCACAGAGCTTGATTAATTATGTGGTCAATCATGTTGCTCCTTCCTGAAGGAATAAAGAACAACGAAGAAGAAAATATCTTTAACCCTGATTTTGCATACAGTAATATTATCAAGCTAATCAAATGCTTCCTAAAACAGATTTTTTAAAATAGCTATGGTATGTTACCTTGTTGTGTCTACAGGAAAATCTTTCCTACAAGTAACTAAGCGAAAAGAAAAACCTTGTTGTGCACTCCAGTTCCTCACGTGTGTTGTTCACCCATATGGTGCACCAATCTGCTTTTGGGCCTTATGGTTTGGTTAGTCACCTCCAGACCTTCTCCCTTCCTTATCTGTGGCTGATTTTAGAGGAGAACTTATTCTTTAGCTAATGTATTGCAATGAGGCTACGGATTCACATGGGCATGGGTTCAAATCTTCCTTCAGCCACTTAGCAGTGGGAGCCTCAGGCCACTTCAGCCTCTGTTCTGTTCTGGTAAAGTGGAGATAAAACTTCTCTCATGGTTAGCACATCAGGTCCTGCTGACCCAGTCCCCTCAGGAGCCAGCCATCTGTCCTCCTCCTGCTTTTCCTCCCTGCCTCTGCTGTTTGTCTGTCGGTGTCTGTCACCGACAGTGATTACCACACTGCCCACTCCTGACCTCCTGCCCCTCACTGTGCTCCAGCATCCTTCCTATCATGGAGAAGGGGGACTCAAACCAAACAGTGACACTTACCTTACTGAATGTCCTTTGAGACTTGACCTTGCACCAGGACAAGTGGAAATCCTCTTACATCACTCATCCAGCTCTCTTCTGGGCCCCACCTGTTCTCTCCTGGCTTTCACCAGGCTCCAAGCTCTCTGTGTGTGGCCACAGGGAACTGTCCTACTCAAAGAGCATCACAGGCTGCCTCCAGATCAGACCTTGGCCCAGGTTTATTTCTGTTTATTTCTTCCCACTGCTGCTAAGCTTGTACCATCTTTGGGCCCCCTGTGACTGTCACTTTGGTAGAGCAACCCTCCATTCCCCAATTCTAGCTCTAAAGATGCACAAGGAAATTTTCCTCCTGGAAGTTGGCTTATACCTTCGACACTGTTAGAGCTTACATATTTCTTGTCTTCCTACTCAGCGTGAGGGCGTCTCCATGAAGGAGACATCATTTTTTTTTTAACATTTTGCTATCTTTAAAGATAAATTCTATCTCATAAAAGTTACTTAAAAACTATAAAATGAACCAGAGGCAGTGTTGGCATATCAGTAATTTTGCCTACTCAGGAACTGAGGTAGAAGAATTGCAAGTTCCAGGCTAGCCTGGCAGCATCAGATCTCATTTCAAAAAAAGAAAGAAAAAAAAAATGTGTGTATTTTACATAGCATTGTGTGCAGTATATAATATCCAAAGTACAATGGCTCTTGGGTTTCGTTACCTATAATACTATGTATATAATAAAAACAGGAATGAGTTAATATTTTTCATGCTTTGTGTGGATTAAACAAGATTAAATGGGAGAAGCACAGAAAACACTACATCCACGCAATAAATGGCAATCTTTGTTATTGTTACTGCTGCTGCTATTATCCCTATGTTGCCTCAACACCACTGCAAAGCGTTGTGCTTTTAGGTACAATTCTACAATTCTCTCCTCTGTTCACAGAAGCCCAGGGGCAGATGTCTCCAGGGCTTTGACATTTTTAACTCCAGAAATATGAGAACTCCTGAAGGCAGAACGGTTTTGTTGGATCTTTGTAAATACGTGCCTGCGTCTTCCTCCTTTATTTTCTGGTTCTAGGACCTCTTGCAGCTTTTGCGAGGCAGTGAGTTCATTCATCCACGCGCACTCTTGCAGGTTGGTTCCCACCTCTGAGTAACCCCTGCGTCCCTATTCAACAGAGGCGAGTAATTACCATAGCAACCGCAGCACGCGCCCAGGGCTTGCTCTCAGAAACAAAGCCGTTGCTTTGGAAAAATTACACCCGCACGCACACACACACACACACACACACACACACACACTTACACAATTTGCAGCACGAGAGTCTATTTCACGCTGTTTGTGAACGGGGTGGTGGCGCCCGGTGGACAGGGCTCGGCTGTGGTCTCCCTGGCACTGACCCTCCACCGCCCTCTGCACATGCTGATTCATTTTAGAGATGAAATTTCTGTGCACTGGGGAGGGAAAAAAAAAAAAAAAAAAAAAAAAAAGGACTCTGTTTCAGTGGCGAGGCCCAAGGGTCCGGGAGAGGGTGCTGGGCTCCGTAGAGCAGTTGTTCTTGTCTGAGTGATGATTACGCTGCCAAGGGGATTCATTAAAACGGGGCCCAGCGCTGCTGCTCTGAATGAAGCTCTGCATAAATCCTGCCGCGAGCCTGTCGGTGGTGGAGAAGCCCATATGTAATGCTTAAACACCGCGCCAGCCTGCTTATGGCAGCCCGCGTCCCCACCCCTGTGCACTCTGGCTCCAGCCGGTCAGGAGCCCAGGGCTGGACCCACATGGTGGCCCAGAAGAACCTGCGGTTCCAGCGGGCAGAAGGCTGAGGCAGGAGGACTGTGAGGCCAGCCTGAGCTACACAACAAGACCAGTCAGACAGAGGAGAGGAGAGGAGAGGAGAGGAGAGGAGAGGAGAGGAGAGGAGAGGAGAGGAGAGGAGAGGAGAGGGGAAGGGAGGGGAGGGGAGGGGAAAAGAGGGGAGAGGAGGAGAAGAGAAGGGAGGGGGAAGAGAAAGGGGGGAACCTAAGGACTGCGATCCTGTTCACAGCCAAAATTTAAGAATTCTTCTTACCCAGTTCGTGTACCTGTGCTTCCAGAGAGACACTAGGGTTCATTTTATTTCATGATATTAGGGATTAAACACAGCACCTTCGTGCTCATCCTACTGCTTAACCCAGGCTGGGTTTGAACCTGTGACCCTCCTGTCTCAGCCTCCCTGAAGGCTGACGTTACAGATCTGTGGTAGTACGCCCTGCTTACATTAGGGTTTACAGTGTGACTGAATCGTGAGGTGACCTGGTCGGGGTTGGGGGGAGATTGGAGAACAGGTTGGTTAGGGCGATTGGAGGCCACATGGTACTGTGGCCCTCAGATCCTGAACACTCAGAAATCAGGAGGCAGCATAAACCAGGGAGTACCTAGGGTACAGTGACTCTGGGGAGATCACTAGTCCTAATCAAAGGGCAGGCGGCAGAAGGTGAGCCAGTCTGTCCTGTCCCCTCAGTTATCTAAAGAGGGGGGAAAGCCTGGGGAAAACCCAGCTTCCTGGAGACCTTTTTTAAGTTGCCGCTTAAACCCAGTCAGCTGGAAGCCTCTTTATGACTTCTCTAGCTGAAACTGTTTTTTTTTTTTTTAAATTGAGCTTTGGTCTGAAAAAAATAACACAATGACAGTGGGGGGGGGGTGTCACAGTCTCCCCCAGACGCAGCTGGCAGGGGGCTGGGGCGGGTCGGTGGGTGCCCAGTGCAGGCAGGACCATGCTCATGAGCTTCGGCCGGCCGGATATTTCATGGCAAAGTCTACATTTACCCTATAATGGGGGCTCTGGTGATTTCCCTGCTTGACCTGAAGGGTCCTGACCAGGCATGAGACGACCGATAATGAAGCGAGCACTTCGAGGTCTTTATTAACAACTCACAGAAGCCTGTGGCGTCCTCTTGGAAGCCTCTCTCATTGGCCTTGGTGGCCCCCTGTCCCCAGACCCGTGAGGGACAGGCCTTTTGTGCTCTGGGGGCTCGAGGCTCGCTTTGCAGAGCGCGGCCGCTAGGTAGCGCCTTGCGCCCAGGGATGGCTCCCTACGCGGAGCCTGCTTGCCAGGAGGCCGAGGGCAGTGACGTGGGGAATTATTATGCACACTTCATTTCCTTGTAATTTAACTCTCGGAGAAACAAAAGCGTAATGCACAGTCTGGTTTTCGACTCTGATTTACAGCAATTTAAAGTAAGAGATGATTTCTGCCTCCCCCAGCCGCTCTAACCCCTTCTGCTGACTTCAGCAGCTGGGAGTTTGAACCTGATGGGGGCCACACCTTCTCCAGCCACAGACCCCAGAAGAGCCAAATGCGAAGTAGGGGTCAGCAGACTGGGCAGGCACGGATTCCCCTTTCTGCTTCAAATTTCACTGCGGCCTCCTGGTCAGTTTTTAAGTTCATGTCTTTATTAAGGGGCTTTGGCCAGCACCCCGCACCACCATGGAGCCCAAAGAGGGCAAAACACCTCTGTCTGAACTGCGCTGTCAGTGTCAGGTGGGGTGAGCGTGTCCTCCGCAGCGCAGCCCTCTCCCTCTGCTCCCCAGCGTCCCTCTCACAGATTCCAGCCGTCTTTGATCTTCCTCTGGCTCTTTGAGCACTTACTTATGACTGCAATTTATCCTCTCATATCTATTGTCTTGTTCACTAATTGCTTCATATGTGCATGTTTTTCCCCAGGGAAAAGGAAAAAACTTTTTTTTTTTGAGTGCCTACTTCATCAGAGGCTCCTTGCTAAGGGTTTTACATGCAATTTCCTTTAATCCCTTTAGCAATCTTTGCCTCAGATGCAATTGATTTCGTTTTACAGCTGAAGACACTGAAGTAGAGGTTAAAGAGCCTACATCATGTCACGCTGGACATGAGAGGACGGATTGAGACCCAGGCACTTTTGCTGTATGGTTGTGAGGTCCTTTAATCGCATACCTGGGTGAGTGTCTCCTTTTCTGCACTTTCCACATGGAACATGGTGAGAGACCCAGGTGTGTCCACACTTCCTAAAAAATATTTAGGATGCTGTCTGGGCTAGCCTATGTCATGACAAGGATGCCAGAACTGTCCTGGTTAAAAAGCAGTAAGCACATGCCAAGCATCAGCCAACTCCTAACCTGGTTGTACAGGCTTTGCCACCCCACACTCTGTAGCTACGTAATGAATGTTTTCTGTCATGGCCCCATTGCCCAGGATCCATGACCCTGTTGTTTCCTCCGTGGACCTTTCCATCCAAGGGAAGGGGGGGGGGCGAATGTTATTCTAGACAGAGCACAAAGCATGAGAGCCAGAGACCCTTTCATGGGTTCAGTCACTTGTTAAACTAGTTGAGAACCTAGCCCAATGATCTCTCTGCCTCTGATCTTCCCCTGTATGTTGTTTGATTTAGATAGGTTTGGCTTTATCTTGCATTTGAGTTTTCTCATGCTCCAAACATACCTCACCCTATCTCCTCAAACTGAAGGAAAGATTAGTTAAAGGGAAACAAGTGGCTGTTTTCTTGGCAATGTTGGTTGTGGGGGACCACTTAGGGACAGAGAGGACCCTAGAGCCCGTTAGGATTCCACACATATCCAATGTTTGGAAACATAAAGATGTGGATAGAGACTGAGCCAAAGAATGGGCTGATACAAAAGGGAAGAGACCCTCTCTGGCTGTTCCAGAATCTTTTGATCTGTTGTTTGGGGTCAGCAAGTGAGTAATCTAGTGATACCCAAGCAGCAACAATGGCTTCTTGTAAATAGCTGGTACCTCCAGGGACTCTGAGGGCCCTGGACACCTACAAATTCACTGAAGCAACTTAACAAGACAAAGCCATGGAGTAAAGCCAGGAGGAAGGTGGTCTCCAAGGACCCTACCAGACCCCACCAACCAGGATGCAGTTTAGGAAGCAAGGAAAATTGGGGCACAGAGGAATGTTGATCCCCAAACTCTGAGACCACATTAGTGATACATACGGAATCAATAAGGAAATTACTGTGGTCTCTAAAGAGTGGTTTTAGGAATTCAGAAATTTACCACACAGAGAGATATAGAGATTTTGCATGTTTTGGGCATTTTATTTTTATTTTACTTTTAATCCAAAATATTTTCTAGCTTTATTGAGACATAGTTGACAAATAATATGCAAAATGCCATTGTGAAATGCTTATTGCATTCAAGCTTATTAGCATATTAACATCACCTAATTAACATCGCCTCACTTAGTTCTTTTTTTTCCCTTTTGTGGTAAAGGCATTTAACATCTGATCTCTTAAACTTTTAAAAATTATCAAGTATCCGTTATGAAGTACAGTCATGATACTGTGAAATAGATTTTCAGAACTTATTCTTCCTGTCTGACCAAAGCCTCTTCCTTTGGTT